AAAAATAGCAAGAGCATTTAGACTTATATACCACTCCATAGTACTTTACAGCACTCTTTGAGCGGTTTACAAAGTCAGCATATTGTTCCCAACAATCTGGGTCCTTGTTTGCTTTTCTTTGTATTACTTACAGGCTACGGAATGCACTGTTTCAGTTGCTACATTTGCCACCAAGTTTAATTGTTAATCAGTTTTACCGTATTAATTTACATTTTAACATCTGGGATATTTTTGTTCTTTAATTTATTAGCTGCTCTCATTACTCATTTGAGTGAAAGGATGGGGTAAAAATAGAATAAGGGAAAAATAGTCAAGCTGAACTTCTGATAACTCCAGGGATACTTCCATGTAATTTTCTTGCAACAGTGTTGAAATGCTTTGACACTGGCTTTTTTAGCAATGTTTTTCAAATCCCAATTTAGCTTAGAGTGCTGGGATGTTTTGGCAATTTTCCATTCATGTATCAACCAAGTTTGAAGTTTATTAAAATATATTTTGGTTTCAAATCTACTGAATTTCTACAGCTGTATGTATTTTGTTTAATTTTGTATTGTGACTTTTCTCCAGAAGCTCTAGATAAATATATAATATTCCCTCTTCCAGTTTTTCCCATAACAATTCTGTGAAGAACTCTGTGAAGGTTGAGAAAGAGTGACTGAACCAATGTTATCCAGTGAAATTCCCATTTGCTAAGAGTGATCTTGATTTGGAATCCCATCGAACCTGGTCTAAAATCAGAATCACTACACCCCACATTTGTCAATACTTGATAAAATAATAGTCCTGGATGAAACTTTTTTCTTTCCTAACATTTTTCCAAATGCAGAGTCTACTTTTTGAAATCAACCAACTTACTCCATTGGTTACAACAGGAGTTGAATGACCAGCATGTCACCTAAACCTTATGTCATGGGCTAACTTTAAAACACACAATTTAATTTAATCTAATATTTCTATCACACTTTCTATGCCACTGGTGGCGAACCTATGGCATGGGTGCCAGAGGTGGCACTCAGAGCCCTCTCTGTGGGCACGCACGCCGTCGCCCCAGTCCTAGGCCTTCAGCTGGGTTTTATAAAACCTTTTCGCTTTAGGCCTCTGCCGCCGTGTACAAAAAAAAAAGGTTCAATCAATCAGTCAATTTCAACTTCTCGCGGGGAAAAAAAGATCTTGCAAAGTTGAAATTGATTGATTGAACTTTTTAGTCCCACCCAGTCTGCTGTTACCACCGCAGTCACGCCCACCCAATGGGCCACACCCATCCAATGGGCCATACCCACCCGGCACCCGACGATGCATAAGTGGGTTTTGGGTTGCAGTTTGGGCACTCGGTCTCTAAAAGGTTCGCCATCATTGTTCTATGCTATACATACCTACTTTTTATAAAGACTGAAGATGAGATTGTTGGGGGGAAAATAAGCACTAAATCTAACATATATTATTCAATTATTTTCTTACATTGGTACATAAACAATTAGGATTTATTTAAGCAAAGTTTATTGGATAATAACAAGTACTGCACATAATACCATGCCAGAATGGATGTATTTATATTTAGTTCAAAAGAAAGTGCCATATAGTTAAACTTAGGCATGGGCTAGGCAAGCATGCTAGATTTAAATTTAATGTTAAAATTCTTTTATTCTTCATTATGGATTTTGTCTGCATTCAATTCTGAAATTATCCCTTATTTTCAAGGGCTTGTAATTAGTAAATATTAATAAACAAACCCCCTTTATGGATTACTGCCTTGTCGTGGCGAAGGGGCTTGCGTAACTCAATGAAGCTATAAGCTATGCTGTGCAGGGCCACCCAAGACGGACAGGTTATAGCAGAGAGTTCTGACAAAATGTGATCCACTGGAGAAGGAAATGGCAAACCACTCCAGTATCTTTGCCATGAAAACCCCATGGACAGTACTAAAAGGAAAAAAGATATGACGCTGGAAGATGAGCCCCTCAGGTCGGAAGGTGTCCAATATGCTACTGGGGAAGAGCAGAGGGCTAGTACTAGTAGTGCCAGAAAGAATGAAGCGACTGGGCCAAAGCCGAAAGGACGCTCAGCTGTGGATATATCTGGTGGTGAAAGGAAAGTCCGATGCTGTAAAGATTTTTTCTCCATAGGAACCTGGAATGTAAGATCCATGAATCAAGGCAAGCTAGACGTAGTCAAAAAAGAGATGACAAGACTGAACATTGAAATCTTAGGAATCAGCGAACTAAAATGGACAGGAATGGGTGAATTTAACTCAGATGACCATCAGGTATACTACTGTGGGCAAGAATCCCTCAGAGGAAATGGAGTAGCCTTCATAGTCAATAAAAGAATAGGAAAAGCAATACTGGGATACAATCCCCAAAATGACAGAATGATCTCAATTCGAATCCAAGGCAAACCATTCAATATCACAGTAGTCCAAATCTATGCCCCAACCACTGGTGCTGAAGAGGATGAAATTGACCGGTTCTATGAAGCCCTACAGCACCTTATAGAATTAACACCAAAAAATGATGTCCTTATCATCATGGGGGATTGGAATGCTAAGGTAGGAAGCCAAAAGATAACCGGAATAACAGGCAAGTTTGGCCTTGGAGTACAAAATGAAGCAGGGCACAGGCTAATAGAATTTTGTCAAGAGAATACGATGGTCATAACAAACACTCTTTTCCAACAACCCAAGAGACGGCTCTACACATGGACATCACCAGACGGTCAACATAGAAATCAGATTGACTATGTGCTCTGCAGCCAAAGATGGAGAAGCTGTATACAGTCAGTAAAAACAAGACCAGGAGCTGACTGTGGCTCAGATCATGAGCTTCTCGTTGCAAAATTTAGGCTTAAATTGAAAAAAGTAGGGAAAAGCACTAGGCCACTCAGGTATGAACTAAATCATATTCCTGATGAATATACAGTAGAGGTGACAAATAGATTTAAGGAACTGGATCTGATAGACAGAGTGCCTGAAGAACTATGGATGGAAGTTCGCAACATTGTACAAGAGGTAGCAACTAAAACCATCCCAAAGAAAAAGAAATGCAAGAAAGCAAAATGGCTGTCTGAGGAAGCTTTGCAAATAGCTGAGGAAAGAAGGGAAGCGAAAGGCAAAGGAGAAAGAGAAAGATACACCCAATTGAATACAGAATTCCAGAGAATAGCTAGAAGAGATAAGAATGCCTTCTTAAATGAACAGTGCAAAGAAATAGAAGAAAACAACAGAATAGGGAGGACCAGAGATCTCTTCAAGAAAATTGGAGATATGAAGGGAACGTTTCATGCAAAGATGGGCATGATAAAGGACCAAAATGGCAGAGACCTAACAGAGGCAGAAGAGATTAAGAAGAGATGGCAAAACTACACAGAAGAACTATACAAGAATGAGCTTAACATCCCAGATAACCACAATGAGATGGTCACTGACCTCGAACCAGACATCCTAGAATGTGAAGTGAAATGGGCCTTAGAAAATCTGAGCAACAACAAAGCTAGTGGAGGTGACAGTATTCCAGCTGAGCTATTCAAAATCTTAAAAGACGATGCAGTAAAAGTGCTACACTCAATTTGCCAGCAAATTTGGAAAACTCAACAGTGGCCACAGGATTGGAAAAGATCAGTTTACATTCCAATTCCAAAGAAAGGCAATGCCAAAGAATGTTCAAACTATCGCACCATTGCACTCATTTCACATGCTAGTAAAGTTATGCTTAAAATCCTACAAGCTAGACTCCAGCAGTATGTGGATCGAGAACTACCAGAAGTACAGGCAGGATTTCGAAGAGGCAGAGGAACTAGAGATCAAATTGCCAACATACGCTGGATCATGGAGAAAGCTAGGGAGTTCCAGAAAAACATCTACTTCTGCTTCATTGACTATGCAAAAGCCTTTGATTGTGTGGATCACAACAAATTGTGGCAAGTTCTTAAAGAGATGGGAGTACCAGACCATCTCATTTGTCTCTTGAGAAACCTATATGCGGGTCAAGAAGCAACAGTGAGAACTGAACACGGAACCACTGATTGGTTCAAAATTGGAAAAGGAGTCCGGCAAGGCTGTATACTGTCGCCCTGCCTATTTAACTTATATGCAGAGCACATCATGAGAAAGGCAGGGCTAGATGAATCAAAAGTTGGAATTAAGATTGCCGGGAGAAATATCAACAACCTAAGATATGCAGATGATACCACTCTAATGGCAGAAAGTGAAGAGGAACTAAAGAGCCTCTTGATGCGGGTGAAGAAGGAGAGTGCAAAAGTTGGCTTGAAACTCAACATTAAGAAAACCAAAATCATGGCATCCGGCCCTCTCAATTCCTGGCAAATAGATGGGGAAGAAATGGAGGTAGTGACAGATTTTATTTTTCTGGGCTCAAGATCACCTCAGATGGGGACTGCAGCCAAGAAATTAAAAGACGCTTGCTCCTGGGGAGGAAAGCTATGGCAAATCTAGACAGCATACTAAAAAGCAGAGACATCACCCTGCCAACAAAAGTGCGTATAGTCCAGGCCATGGTTTTCCCAGTTGCAATGTATGGCTGTGAAAGTTGGACCATAAGAAAGGCTGAGCGCAAAAGAATTGAGGCCTTTGAACTATGGTGCTGGAGAAGACTCCTGCGAGTCCCTTGGACTGCAAGGCGTTCAAACCGGTCAGTCCTAGAAGAGATCAACCCCGACTGCTCTTTAGAAGGCCAGATCCTGAAGTTGAAACTCAAGTACTTTGGCCACCTAATGAGAAGGAAGGATTCACTGGAGAAGAGCCTAATGCTGGGAAAGATTGAGGGCAATAGAAGAAGGGGACGACAGAGAATGAGATGGCTGGATGGAGTCACTGAAGCAGTAGGTGTGAATTTAAATGGACTCCAGAAGATGGTAGAGGACAGGAAGACCTGGAGGAACATTGTCCATGGGGTCGCGACGGGTCGGACACGACTTCGCAATTAACAACAACATAGTTTTAAAGATTATTGTTACAGAATCATAACAGCAATAGCAAGTTTACTTACAAGGAATTTTGGTTAGTTCATTCATAAATTTCTCCTTTAACTTTGAAAGTGAATTTTCTTGTGTGCCGCCTTTTCCTCCTCCGGGTATCGCTGGTTCTGTTGCATTATTTGCTATTGCAGTTGCAACAGTAGTACCTGGTAGTGCTGCTAGTGCCTGGTGTTGACTTTCTTTTGCCATTTTAGGCCCAGGGGAACTAAGATTGAAAAGAAAGCAGAGAAAAAAATGTTCAAAAGGTTAAACTTCATCGTAGGTCGATAGCAAACTAGAGAGCAGTAACCCCAATTGGTGCACCTGCTTCCTGGATAAATATCACTTCGTTAATACATTGCTTCACATTGACTCATACAATATTTATTAAACCATTGGGGTAAAAAAAAGATTTTTTCAGAAGGTAAAAACTGCATATTCTTATATCTTCCTCCTGAGTCCAAAACAGTTATTTCTGTTTTCTACCTCAATATGGGCTTAGCATCTGTTGTTTAAACTTTGAATTCTGCCCTTTCATTTTGAATAGATAAGTAATCTGACAGCAGTTTCATATATACAAACATTTCAGTGCATTTGCATAATTATTTGTACATGTCTTTTGGATTGAAAACTTTCACAGCACAAGTAGAAATGAAAATAGAAAGCAATTACACCCGGATAATTAAAGCACCTCTACGCTCTCTTGAACTCTTTAACCAACATGCTCTCTATTTAAGCAGAATTGGACATTATTTTTAAAAAAATGTTCCATCTTACTTTTGAATCACATTTATTGAAAGCAAATTTTCTTCCACTGACATTTGTTTCCAACAATAATCAATTAAATTATTGACATTCCTCACTATTAATAGGGTTAAAATCAATGCATCTGTGGGTTGTTTTGCTTCATCCAAATTACAACTCCAGGCTGTTGAAATAAATTCATAGCTACATTAATGTATTTTTGTTTCATGGGCTTTGGGGAAATATTTTTACACAGATTTAGCATATAAACAATGTACGTTTATATGGAGTATGTAAGAAGCATCTTGAATACTGCTTAGGGGATAGCTCAACATTTGTTTTAGGAGACTATTTCAGTCTTGGTCTGTCTCTTAAATAATGCTGCTTTGAGGACTAATTCCCATCTTCTCTATTTCAGAAAACTATAGAGAAAATAAATTTAAGAGATAAGGATAATTCATTATTGCTCTGGTTTAAATTTTTTTGTACTTTTCCAGAAACAACTAACTTCCCACTGGGAAATGAATTAGTAAAAACCCAATAACTAAAGTTGAATAAAATAAGTCTTCTCAAACAGACGGTGCAGAAAACAAAAAAAACAAACCCAACTTTTATTTATTTTTTTAAAAAATCACAAATATTGCACATTCTAACATATTTTGATCATACAAGCATTCCCTTTAATACCACTGGAACTGTTCAAATGGAAAACTGAATCAAATGATAAATGCTATTTTAAAACTGTACTCACTATTTTCATGCTTATAACTCATTTAAAAATGGAGGTAAACACTGCAATTGTGCAGCCAATTATTTCTAATGTGTTTAAAAATCATATGGTAGATTGAAAAAAGTAAATAGTGCAATAGAAGAATAGACACTAATAACAAAGTTTTTTGTTACTTTGTTTTCATGAATTTCTGGGTGATGGGTAACTTTTTCTTTTTCATTGGTGCATCTTTGCATTCTTTGTTTCCTGGAAGATCTGTTCTTCCCACTTTTCTTTTCTTTGATCTGCTTACTGTACAGGTACCACTACCAATAAAGGAGAACATTTGCACCTCAGGGTTGAAATGCTTTATGGGCTGTAACCTACCTGTTCTGAGTTGTTGCAACTCCGAATGGTCATAAAATGACCAGTCATAAGTTGAAGGCTACCTGTAGTGCAATATATTTATCTTTCCTCCCCCACAAAGCATTTTTACTATCATGTTGCTTGAAAACCATGATTAAAGCTTGATTATTGCTTGTCTAATTACTTGTTTATCCTGTATAAAGGTCCCATGAGTCCATAATCAGTAGGGAAGTTATAGGGAATGAAACTGAAAAGGGTTGCATCCCAAAAGCACTGTCTAATAAATCACAATGGGAGAGTATTCTTTTTCACCTGTTTATTGCTGCAGTACTGCGAGTATAGAGGAATCTTAAAGAGGACATTCAGATTGAAACTAACCAATAAAATGTCGTAGACTGATTACACACCAAATCTCAACAAATATTTGATTATCTACTAAGAAAACAATGACACAGTGATTGGTACAAAAATATAATGATGTATGGAGATTCTATTATTCACATTCTCTACTGTGTATTAGGTTGAAGAGTTCTTCCTTATTTACCAACAGAAAGATTTTGGCAAGGGCAGCTATCCTCATTACTGCAGCTCTGTGACATGACTGGGCAACAAGTTTTTTCTCTTTTTACATAAGTTCAGAAACAATTTTTATTATTTGCTCAAGCTACGCTTTTCATTCTGCATACAACATATCTTAGCGCTTTGTCTTCTAAATCTAAGCAGTAGAATGGAGTTCCCCCTACATTTGCTAAATAAGTTTTGCAGCCTTTCCAAACAGTTCCTCAGATGTTGAGATATGAGTTGGATGAGCCTGGGGTTCTTATCACCTTTGTCATGACCTTGGACTGTGAGACTCAAATATTGTTACTGCTGTTCCATAAGAAGTCAAATTTAGTGCCTTGTTCTTAAATAGGATCTATTTACCTTGAATCACACACACACAGAATCTTAAGAAAACACCACTAATCTATAGTTCCAATAAGTGAGTTTTATGCTTCTCTAGACAGTCTCTAAAGGCTTTGGGCCTTTCCTCCAAATATAGCTTCTGTACTCAGCACTTGCTTTGGACCAGTGTTACTTAAAGTGTGATCATAGAACCTCTGTGGGTCCCCCAAGACCCCTTCAGAGTTCTCAAAAATCAACATTATTTGCCTATATTGAAAAATAATACCATCCAACAATATTGAGAAGCTGTAGTAGTTCAATACATATTACATTAAAAATTGTACTTAGCTACAGTCATTTCAATTATCATGTAGAAAGCAGAGATAATATCATGATGATAACATCATCAATATCAATATCATGTTACACCAGCCTGGTGTAGTGATTATCATGTTGCACTAGAAACCAGGAGTCTATAAGATCTAATTCTCTCTTGGGCATTGAAATCAGCTGGGTGACTTTGAAATAATTATTCTCCCTTGCCCAAAATATCTCAAGAGTTGTTGCTGTGTGGAATATAGGAGATGGGAGCATTATGTATGGCATTATGTATTGAGTTGTGCAAAATAAAGGCAGGATATAAATCAAATAATTTTAAAAAGCAACCAACTAACCAATCAACCAAATGTTGTCCTATGCCCTGCACATATCCTAATGCAATCAGAAGCAATGACTATTCTCTGTGTTTGAAGTTACTTTTTGTGCATGGGTCCCAAACACTGAGTGATGCATATTCTTGTAGAAACAGAGACAACTGTCAAATATAGAGGGGTGTGGAACTTGATGTTACATCTCTATCAGCAATCCAAGGATAACTCTTAAAGGATCAGGAAACTATTGAGTTGCTTTGATAGTACCTTGGGAAAATAGCCTTGTTTATTGTGATTACTTTCCATAATTTTTATGTCATTAAAGAATGGTTCATCAAAACAGTATTCTAGTAATCTCATCTAAAGGAAATAACCAAGAAAATGTTTTTAGTTTCAGATTTCAGTTACCTGAAAATGTTGATGGAATGCATAATAGAGGTAGAATTTATCCAAAGTTTGCCTTATATGCTCTCAAAGGAATACCAAATTATCTTCTAGAGAATATTACGTTTAGTTTTTAAATTATCTACAGCCTTACTCCTGGATGGTTTCCCAGATAGTTTTATTGCTTGAGTAGATTTTCTTTTCTACTGTGAGCCAGATAGAAATGATAAGTAATTAAAATGTAAGAAAGTCACTATGCTAGGCTGAATGACACAAAAGATAAGATACTGCTGCATTATTCTTTGTCCTGAAATGCTAGAACAAATGTGTCTTTCATTAAACTTCAGATATTTCAATAAATATATAAAAGTACAAGAGAAGGATAAGGTCTATTAAAACTGGAAGAAAAACTATTTCATTTACAAACTTTGCTGTGGCAATGTCCCCTATCTTTCTTAATTATTGTCTAAACCATATGAACTATATAGCTAGTTGAAAAATCTATCACTGGGGGTTTTATGTTCATAAGAGCAGGCCAAAGTGAAATCATGATATGTAATTAGGCTAATGAATTAATTACTTAATACAGACCGATTGTAACTTAGACACAGTTTCCCCTATAAAGTTCCCAGTATACCTGTTTTGAATGAAGCCAATCTGACTAGTATGAGTAAAGCTAATAATGATATTGAACAGGCTGCATCATTTAATTAAATTAATTAATAATTATATACAGTATGCTTTTAAATCTTTTCACGCAATCCAAAATTCAGTGGTAAAGTGTAGAATGGTAAGAACTGGCTCTTTTGTTTTTGTTCTCTAATAAGATGAGTACCACAATTGTCCAAAATATTTTAATATTCTCTTTGAAAATAGTACAAAGGAAATCAACAATAGAACTTCATCAAAATATTCACAAAGAGTGAATTTTCACCCAAAGCTTGAAGTGCTTTTATTATTCATACAAAAGAATATAAAATATGGTAAAACGAATCAGTTTAACTGCACTTGTCATGCATTCTTCATAGCATATATGTACAATTTGGATTAATGTTCTGTAGTTTCTAACATTCATAGTGTTAAGCACCTGATTTATGATTCACTTCTGATGAACATAACGATATTTAAGAGGCTGCCTTGATAGCGGCCTCTCCAAATGAAACTCTACCTATCTAATCTCCTTGTGACCCTGTCACTACTGAAGTTGATAGGATTCTACGCTCTGCTTTGTATTTGGCTCCTATTTCCAGCTGAATGCCTATCATTTTTGCTGGGTGTCCTGAGTCCTTTTTATTAAACATTGTCAATTGCTTGTTATCTTTCTTTTGCACTCCAGTTAAAGGTTGTGCCCTTTTGTTCTTAGCGGTTATGTCTGTTTTCTCTGTCCCTTGAGGGCATTTGAGTTTAAATTTAAAAGTCTGTAAAAATATTGTTTTCCTTTAAAAAAAAAGTATGGATTTTATATGGATGAAATAGATATACTAGGAT